GCAAAGAAAACATATCAGAAAACTTTAAAAGTGCAAACATATAAAAACACATAAAAACACAACATATAAGTCCAGAGAAATTTGTAATACTTATCATTTTGTAATGCAATCATATGTTTTCTCTGGACTACAAAGAAAGTCCAGAGAAATTTGTGAACTTATATTCACTTTCAATATAACAAAAACAAAAACACATTAACATGAAGAGACAAAAATATTTAAACACAAGCACATAAAAAATCACAGAGAAGATCTGTTATGTTCACAAAACATCAATTCAAAAAAATTAAAAAAAAAAACAAAACACTTACTACTCTATTGTACATCTGTAAATTTCTCTGCCTATTACAATTTCTCTGTGATTTTCACTGCACTACAAGCTTACAATTTTTCTCTGTGATTGAGTTCAATTATAGTAACAAACCTGCAATTTTCTCTGCACTACACAAAAAATGCAAAGTGAACAAAAAACAGAGCACAAAAACGTAGAAAACAGAGCACCAAAAAGAACTCATAACCATGTTGACGAGAATGAAAAAGCAACTCCAAAAATCAAAATCAACTCCATCGAAAATTCATCATAACAGATAATGAAAAATTAACTTCAAAATCAAAAAACACAACACTGAGTTCGTCTCTCTCACATTGATCAAAACTAAAAAACAAAACTAATTCAATACCTACACGATCAAATCAAAATCAAAATTAAAAACGTATCTAATTCAACTCCACATGAAATCAATCAAACACATGAACCAGATTTCAACTCTTACACGATTGATCAACACCTACAACAATGAACATGATTTCAACTCGTACGGATTTCAACACCTACAAACAACGAACAGGGATTTCACACCTACAAAAACCCTAGAAAATCTCCACAAAATCTGAATCGTCAAGTTCATCTCACGTATTCCACAAAATACAATATGATCTTTAGCTGCCAAATTCAAAACAACGTATATTATAAACAAGGATAAACAGGTATTTCACACTCTAAAATAAATTGAGGGACCTTAAGCTACAAAAGAAACATTGTGGACCTAATCCATTACTAAAAGTGGATAGGGATCTTAAACCGATTTTTCCTTAAAATTATTTTACTAATACTATATAATTATATATAGTTTTTTAAATATTGTGGGGGGTGCGACCGTACGAATCCGGATCTTCGGTAGCACTCTCCTGTGGCCCTCCCTGTCGCCCCCAAAACCAGTCGTTTTGGGTTTTTTTTTTTTTTCTTCTCTCTTCTTTCTCTGACCTCCTCTCCAACACAAACCCAGCCTGATTGCACACATCTCTCTCTCTCTCTCTCTGTGCTTGGGTGCTTTCTTGCTGATTATGTGTGTGTATATATATATATAGTGTGAATTTCTTTTAGGTTCTATGAAGCTTCATTTTTTTTGTAATTGTGTGAACTTCTTTTATGTTCTATGAAGCTTCATTTTCTCTTTCCCATTATTATGTATGGTAATGTATTCTGAAAGCAAAAATTGCTATGATTGAATCCAGAGAAATTCTCTGGTGATGAGATTTTCTCTGTGTCTTTTCTGTATTTTTTGGGAATTTCTCTGGGTTGTGGAGTCCAGAATTTCTCTGGGTTGAGAGAATTACTGTAGAAAGATTTGTCTGGGAATTTCTCTGGGTTGGAAAATTTCTCTGGTTATCTGTCTATGAGTGTGTTTTGGTTAGCTCCTCAGTTCATCATTCTTGGGATTGAAGATGGGTTTACACTTGTTGGCCTACAAGAGTATTTCTATGATCAAATTAGAGTTTTTGAATCTGTAATAGGCTTCATTGCATTTTTCTAGGTATCAACATTTGTTTAACCCCTCTCTCTCTTTCTCTATTTAATGTGTTTTGTGTGTGCATTGTTTTTCTCTGGTTTGGAGTCCAGAGAAATTCTAGAAATTTCTCTGGGAGAAAACTAAAGAAATTTGCAAATCAGAGAAATTTAAAGAGAATTGGACCAGAGAAATTCAAAATTTCTCTGGACTCAACTAATGCATAAGAGAAATACTGAGAAATTTTAGGAAGAATTGAGCCAGAGAAATTATGAGAAATTCAGAATTGCTGTAGACTTTCTAGAGAAATTTGGTCCAATTTTCTCTGGACTGAAATTTCTCTGGACCAATTTTCTCTGGACTGAAATTTCTCTGGACCAATTTTCTCTGGACTGAAATTTCTCTGGACCAATTTTCTCTGGACTGAAATTTCTCTGGACCAATTTTCTCTGGACTGAAATTTCTCTGGACCAATTTTCTCTGGACTGAAATTTCTCTGGACCAATTTTCTCTGGACTGAAATTTCTCTGGACCAATTTTCTCTGGACTGAAATTTCTCTGGATCAAGGTTGAGGGACCTTAGACATTATGAAAATATTGTTGATGGACCTTAGACATCATAAAAATATTTGATGTCCTTTATGCTATAAAATCATAATATCAAGGACCTTAAAAAAAAACCCTAATTTTAAACAATATAAAATTATAACAAATAATATAGATAATAAATGGCATAGATCAATATTTGATAAAACTCAATTTAAAAAATATTTTTAAAATTTTGTAATGTAAATAATTTAGAGGGTGCAAACTACTGAAATTTTAGGGGACCAAATAATCTAGATTAAAATTATTTTACTAATACTAATATAATATATATAGTTTTTAAATATTGTGGGGTGCGACCGTACACCCCCAATGATGAAAGCTCAAGCTACCAGGCTTGAGAACACATGTTCAACTTTAATGGCAACCACTTTTAACAAATATCCCTTTGATTACAGGACAGTCGAAGACCAACATTAGGTAAAGTACTTTTTTAGAAGTTCAATAAGTTAACTTTTTTAGAAGTTCAATAAGTTTAACCACAAGAGAAAGTAAAAATAATTTAAAAAATTATATGCGTATTGTGAAACTCCGTATTTTTTTATAATAAAAATGATATATATTTTAAAATTTTTATATAATTATTTGTGTTATTTTAAATTTAATAAAATTTTATTCAAAAAATAATTTTAGTTTTATATTATTACTCAATATTATTTTCTAAGTTTTCTAATATTTTTATTATATTTTTCTCTGTATTTTTTTAGAGACCAAACTACACTAAAACGTAACATTTTCTGTATCAATTTAAACCCGACTTCTTCCTCACGTCTCTTGCATCCCACGCCTCCCGTACCTCCTTCCTCACCTTCATGTGCTCTCTCTCGCTCACCTTTATGTCTTTCAATCAATCAAATATATATATATATTAACATTCAACCCGTACTATGCATGATTAAATGAATTAATAATGATATAATATCTTATGAATTTTTAGATTATAAAATTATTTTTATTTTTTTCATTTTGAGATGTATGATAAGAATATTTATTAGCATTGGATTTTTACATCATAAAATTTAAAGCAAAATCTATTTCATCCTATGACCCAGCTGAGATGCAACTTAGGTGGACTCAACTTGAGTAATTTAAGTTCGTAAAATTTTATGATCCTAGGACCATTTTGAATTTGGTAAAGATTATGAGAAAAATTACAAGTATCAATTGTCACAATCCAAGCATTTTGATTTTTGTTGTTAATTATATATAACCCTCACATTAAAATATACACCGAAATTGAAAACCAAAAAATTATTTCTAAAAAATTAATAATATTCTCAATTAATACTTAAAAAACTAAGAAATATCTCAATTTTATTTGATAGTTTCACAAACTAATAAATTATTAATTTTGTATAGCTAAAAAAATAATATTTTACTTTTATAAAATTTTAAATTCAATATTGATTTTGTTTGATAGATTTCACTGTATAGATTCCAAATTTTTTTTTTTTATTAAAAACAAATGTATATAATAAAGTTTTGAAAGAACAAAAGAGAAGCAAATTCCACATCAACAGTGCCCACTTGAACCAGAAGAAATTATTTAATGCTTTTGAAGCATGGTCAAGTGATTATTAAGACATTTGTAATTGGAAAAAGAGGGTGAAAGCTCACAATTTTATATTGAGATGTAAAATATAGGTGGTGTTTGGGAAGCAAGTTCCCAAATTTTTTTCTCATTTTTTCCACTAAAAGACAAAAGTTTTGCAAAACCAAAAAAAACACATCCAAACAAAATATCACATCCAACCCCATAATCATTTCACTTTTTCTCTCACAAACATCACATCCAACCACATAAAAACCCAACTATCTTCCCAAACACCAAAAATTTTTTATCTCATAAAAACCTACATCTACTAAAATCTACATAAAAACTCACTTCCCAAACACCATCATAATGCTTGACGATTGATGGATAACATATATCGTCATGTAATACACTTAGAACCCTTAATAATTTTTTTATTAATTGACGTTTTTCAATTCTTTTTACTTTTTTATAAGAGTAAAACAGTCATATAAACATAAATATTTTGAACATCTTACCTTATTGATTAAAAATAATGAAATAGGACTTAATAGAACACTAACCTTAGAAATAGGTCTTTTGGATAATTAACCCATAACAGTAACATAGTCGAACATTAACCCTAGCATAAGTTCAGATGGTGGGGCATCACCAATTATCCCAAAACATGCATATATGCCAGTAACAATGCCAAAGACAACTTCCAAATTCAACTTTGTACCAGTCTAAACAAAAAGGAAAAAATGTATATATAGTATTACATATTACTTTGGATTCCTCTGGTTTAGGATTTTGGAACCATTGTTGCGGCACAAGAAGTAATATGTCATCGCCACATGCTTTCAGCCAAGAAAATAAAATAAAATAAAATAGTTGCGAGTAAGGGGTAGAGAGCATGAGAAAGGATACATTTCAATCCTAACAACATTGCAATAATTATTAGCAAGAACATTTAAACTTCACAAACAGTATCATACAACAACAATGAAAGCAACAGGATCATACAAACATATGCACGAGTCTAACAATGGTGGCTCACCACAATTACCATAGAAAGAAATGGAGTTTTTTTCATGCAACTGAGACATTTAAACCGGTTTTGACCTTCTAAATTTATGATGAAGCTCACTTCTGGAACTCAAAAGGCTTGCGTTGCTGAAAAACAAAATGTATATCAGAAACAGAAAAGCTAAAGTAATCATGGCTACAGTAATTTTTTTGAAAACAAATCTCAAATAGATTACAATAAGATTGAGAGATGAGATGAGATGAGATAAGAAACATCTATGAAGTCTTAGCTCTATCTCCACAATTCTATGAATGGGATTGTATCTATGTATAGATCCGAGTTATGAAACAGTATTCCGTAGTTTAAGAGATAAACATGCAAAATATGAACTTCTGTTAAAATTTTGTCCATTTGTGTTCAGGAAACAGTTTTACAGAATTTACCTTGGCAATTGGCATCTTTGCTCTAACTGAATCAATCAATGAAAAATCAATATCTGCCACGGTAATGCCTGTTGACAGTCGATCTGAAACAACAAACTAAAGCATGAATGCGAGCAATAGATTTGCTAAAGTTGTTCTTACACTTACCATGAGTGTGACAAATGACGTTCTATACAAAAAAACTGACTTCACATTTAATCATAAACGTTTAAAAAAAAAAACGAAAAAAAGACTAACAGGTAGAAAAATACCAACTTCTATGCAAGAGCGAGAGCAAACCATCTTCACTTTCAGAATTAACTGTGGTGATGTTTTTAACTCATCATTGAATGATTCTAGTTCTAGTCAAGATCATCCCCTCCCTTAAGATAAACATCACCTAAACTATTGATTCAGATCAATGGTCTACTATAATTATTTGGTTGCTCACAATGTATATATTCTTGTAGTCTACAAAAAAATTGAGAACTAGTCTAAATAGAATATAGTTTGATCCATCACCATAATTTTTTAGTCACAAAAGTTTGAAAGTTGTAGACTTGTAGTTTAAGAAAGAATAGGTTGTGACTATGCGGAACTACCTGTAAATTTCTTAGTATTACCTCTTCCTCAACTTGGAAACTAGCTCATGTTAAAGATAAAAAGTAAACGCCAATAGTTTTTGGTCCGAAAATCTGAATTTGACAAACATAACAGGGGCAGCTACAGTTCGTACTTCGAAGGGGCTTTTCTAAGGCAAATCCAAATTCTAGTCAGGAGCATGGTGTCATGAAGGAAAACTCGGAAGGAAGTATGTCAAGATTATAACCTGTATTGAAAGTTGATGTTTCCTTTAGATACCGTAGTTAGGGTAAATTACACTTTGCCCCCTTTATGTTTGGCCAATTTTTAACTTTGGCCCTTAAAGTTTGTTTTTTCTCACTTTGACTCTCATGTTTCAAGTTTTTTCTAATTTACTTCTAAAACTAATTTCTGTTAAAAATTAGATAGAAAATGACACATTGACAATCACATGGCATAAAAATATTTTGTTATATATAACTCACACCTCTGACACAAACTTAAATCTCAATATAATAATATATTTTTATATTATGTGGCAGTTATCATGGCATTTTTTGTGTAGTTTTGAACAAAAATTAGCTTTAGGAATAAACTGGAAAAAACTTGAACATGAAGGGTAAAAGTGGGAAAAAATAAACTTTAAAGGCCAAAGTGAGAAAGTGGTCAAACATAAAGGGAGCAAAGTGTAATTTATGTAATTTATCCCCTTAGTTATATAATATGTCATCAAAACAATGTAAAAAACATTGCATTATGAAGGATAAAAAAATTAAAAATATATATATATATAACTTTTGAAAATTGAAAAGTGACATAAAAAATTTTCCCTACGCAATCATTGGGACAAAATTTAATATCTTCAATTTTGAAAGACATAACCATCCCAATAGAATCTCAAGCAGAGCTAAGAACAAGTAACTCTATCACATCCTCCTTAAACCGATTGTTCAACTCAAGTAGAGCTAAGAACAAGTAACTCTATCACATCCTCCTTAAACCGATTGCTCAACTCTTGCAAATATCTCCAATTCTTGAAGGATTGATAAAGAAGAAGAATTAAAAAAAAAATTAAAAAAAAAATAAGAGAGAGAGAGAGAGAGAGAGAGAGAGAGAGAGAACTAAAAGAAGAAAAGGAAGAACTAAAGCAAAAGAAGAAATTTTGAAAAAGATATGGAGAAGAGGAAAAATAAATCGAAAATGGAGATCGAGTTGAAGAGAAAACCAGAAAACAAATGATGAATCAAAACAAAAGAGCAAGAAGACAAGAGGGAGAATCGGAACAAAGAAGAAGAATAAGAGAGAGAGAGAGAGTTCTCTCAAATATCTTTTTCCACATCGGTAACCATGGGTTTTGGACTATGAGAATATCTTGGGGGCGGGTATTAATTTTCTCAAAAATATCTGAGGTGGGAGAACCTATATAATTTTCAAATATTCATAACTAATACAACTATATTTAAGAGGTTCTTTCAGAACTTAAGGGCGGCTGTCGCCCCTGATAGCTACCCCTTGGGTTCATCCCTGTCTATGCATGAACACATATAACACAACTCATCACCTTTTCCCCCAGCAAGCTTGGAAGCTTAATTTAAACCTCTCTTTTCATCAGACTACCTCAACGCGCACCTCCTCCTCCTCTGGTGATTTGTGCCAACTCAGTGCCCACCAGCTTCCTAGAAGGCTCACCTCAACCACCCTACCAACCAACCAGCTCCACAAATTTCTAAAAAGAGACAAGGAATCATAAATGAAGCACCAAAAACTGCAAAGGGAAATAGTTCTCACCAGATAGCCGACCAACTATAGTCCCCCACGGATCAATTATTAAGGTGTCACCATAGCTTTCTCTGTTTTCATTATGTTTTCCAGCTTGTGCAGCAGCTATGACCTGATTATGCATTTAACATTGTCATTTCTCAATAAATATAGGTAAGAAAGCACACAATAAAAACTAGCCAAGATCTCGGGAGAGTGGAGTAGAATTGAAGATCCCTAAAACTTTGGGTCAATGGCATACATAAATAAATACAAAGAGATGAAAACAGTGACCACAAGATAAAAAGTAAGGCGACAAAGAGATTAAAACAGCAGCCACAATGTACTCTCTTTTAAACATTATTCACTTTCTATGTTAGATGGACTCATGTACAGGTCGTCAGCTGCAAGTATGTGTCTATATGTGAGATTCATCTAATTCTCATATCCAAGGACATCAGGATGCCTGGGGCACATCTAGACTTCATTTTTAAAAATATTTCTTTCATTTTTACTGTAAAATGGTATTTACTCATGTCAAATAACTATTCCCTGTCCTTACCCAAGACACATGTCCAACACGGGTACATTTTGACGAGTCCATATAACATAGATGTTCATAATACTAATCAAATCACAATAATGACGATAACAGCCACAGGAGGTTATTTGAACTTCGTACATAGCATTGAGTTTCTATGGCACGAGCACGTAGAAGAATTTCCCAGTGAGCCTGACCAGTTACTTTGGTGAAAGCTGCAGGAATCAACAATACCTGCAGATAGGATTACAATCTGCAACTGTTAGGCAAAAAAGAACTCCATACTCTATAAGGATGAGGAAGCTTCTTACGCTTGTACCTGTGCTTCATGATTGAACCTTAGCTGCTCATAAAGCCCTGGGAATCTCATATCATAGCAAACTGTCAGGCCCACACGTCCTAACGGGCTGTCTGCTGCAACAATATCCTTCCCTAGAAAATTTAAAACTCTTTAAACAGCTCAAGTGCTAGACATAAATTATGCTAATCATTCATGTTGAGGTGAGGTAAGAATGTTACCTAGAGAAACAATAATTAAACACAAGAAATTAATAAAAAGCCAGTTCTTGGAAATCAACACATGCTCATTTGACTGGTTCCTTACTTCCAATCAGTAGACATCTTAGAAAACCAAAGCAACAGAACATTTTCTCCCAGTATTTAATGCCTTATTATGTTATTGGTAGGAAAAAATTGCTTTTAGTTTCCTTCATGTTTTCCAAGACATTTGCAAGCAAACTAAAAAATAAGTTATTCAAACCAAATGAAAATGATTTTCATTTTCCATCATGTTCTCAAAAAAAGGATGAATTCAAAAGGAACAATAAAAATAAAAAACTCATTTTACCAGTATGGCATATAAGCTATGTGTTGGAATTAGAATTAGAATAAAGATCCTGGTGATTGGCAATCACGGGGTATTAGGAAACTATTATGTAATCATGATTTTATTTCCTATTTTGTAATTCTTTCTCCAGTATATTTATATACAGGCTAGTCCACATTCAAGATTGAGCCATTTTTTTTACATTCTTCTTGGTATCAGAACCAAAACCGTATCGAACTTTTTCTTCTCTATGTGTTGGCAACCTCCCTAGTTGAGCACCACCACTGCTTGCCCATCACGTCTGACTGCCTCCTGCACCCGCTCACCGTATTACTTGTGTCTTGTTGAATGGGAAAAAACTTTGTTGCATGGAGCCGTTCCCTTAAACTCTATTTAGGGAGCAATGGAAAGGCTCATTGGCTTCTTAGTACGTCTGCTAATATGGATCCCAAGCGCATCTAATGGGATATCGATAGCTGTACTATTTTTATTTTGGGTTGGGTGGTATATCCATGGAGGACTGCATCTATCATATATGTTATGTTATCAAAATCTTACGATTCGCAATTTGATTCAGGATTTGATTCGTAATTTTTGCAAAATCGATACAAATCTATAGGTGAATCTATTTTGAAAGTAAATCTCTAGTGAATCGCACGATTCACAATCGATTCACGATTCAATTCACTTTTTACGATTTGTGCAATTTTTGAAATTACTGTGTTCGACGACATATTTTAAATTTTTTTTTACTCCATCTTTTTAGTGAAAATGACATAATATAACTTCTAATAGCATTTAATACCAAAATGACCAACATATATATATGATTTATTGTTATTTTAGTGATCATGGAGTTTTTAATAGAATCCAATAAGATTTAGTCAGACCCAATATATTTGTAACCTTTCTTCTCATTTTTTTTCCCTTTAAAAAATCATAATGCATCTTCTAAAGATGTTTAAAGATTAAATTTACACTATGAATTATCTACTGTTATTTTATTAAATTGAATATTACATGTGTGAGGTCAATTATACCTTTTAAAATAGTTTAGGTTTTAAAATAAAAGATTCTAATCTTTCTTATTATTTGCTCATTGTTACTTAGAAAAGTATATATGCTTACTTTCCAAATATCAATATCATTGTTAATTATTGTTACTTTGAAAATTAATAGTTTGACTATTTAGTTATTATTTTTATTAAGAATGGTTAATAAGAAATATCTAAAGAAGAAAAAAAGGTAAGATGGTGATCTTACATAAGAACATTTGTTAACTTCTTACGTATTAAACTACATGATTATCATTCAAAATAACATTTTCATAGATTTAAGTTTAAATATTTTATATTCATAAGATATATTTAATATCTAAACATGTAGATATATGTTTTTTAAGTAATTTAGAAAAATTGACCGAATCTTTACGATTTACGATTCGATTCGATTCGATTCGCGATTCAGTACGAGGCCATTTTGATTCACGATACGAATCCCAATTTGACAACTATGCATATATGTTTATGTATTCCGACACTGTTTCTTGTTTGTGGAGTGCCTTAACTCAGATGCATGCTCATGCCCACAATGATGCCTGTATTTTTGAGCTCTACGAGAGCATCTCTCATGCTTACCAGTCTGCTTTAGGCCTTTCAATGGCTGAATTTTTGGACATTTATAGGCACGTTGGGAGGAGTTGGCTCAATATGAGCCCTTAAGCGACTTTCCAGTTGAGGCTACTTTTGTCATGACCAAACTTCTTGCTTGCTAGCATACCTACTAGTTCTTGATGGGTTCGACATATGAATTTGGGTCCCTTCAAATTTAAATCTTATGCCTTCTCTATATGAGACCTTTCCCATTATTGACAATAAGGAGCATCAGCGTCGGTCCAGCATGTCTCTTCTCCTGCTCCTGAGCCTCTGGAGCTCTCTGATCAGATGGCTCTTGCTGCAAGTTCTAGTTCCAATTCTTCTACTAGGAAAGTTGTTTGTCATCATTGAGGCGAACTTAGACGTGTTAAGGCTGCTTGTTTCAAATTTCATCTTGAGTTGAAATATGTTTTGCTCCAAATCGGCCGTCTGGTTCTTCCCGCAAAGCTACCATTGTTGAGATAGTACCAAGCTTGAGTACTCCTGATTTGCATCTTCTTCAGTCTAAGATTGGTAAACTCCAGGAACAACTTGGTTCTCTCACATCCCGCACTCCTGGCTTCCTCTTTGACTACCACACTGGCCACAGGTACACCTACTACTTTCCATGTTTGCTCTGTATGTCTTACTTGGGTTCTGGATTTTGGTGCTGATGATCATATATATTTGTTCTCGTGTCCATACTACTGCTTAAACTGTGTATGTTACCAATAGTTCTACCTCCTCGGTCCATAGTCTGGGTGTTATTACCTTATCTCCTACTCTTTCTCTTTCCCTTAGTAGCAGGAATCATCGGAAGGAGAGACAATTCTCGTCTAGAATCGCGATTCAGCGATTCGTAGCAAGATTCGTGATAGAATTGCGTCTCTATTGAGATAGAATCGCGAATCTAACTAGATGAGACTGATGGCGACATAGAGAGAGAGAGAGAGAGAGACCAGGCTGCGAAGGAAAAGAAGCATTAGCTGCTAGGGTTTATGCTGCGAAGGAGCAGTAGCTGCTAGGGTTGGGAATTATAAACATGAGAGTTGGGCTTGGGAATTTTTATTGGGCTTAGGGAATTTTTTTAGGCCCATACAGTTTGGGCTTGTGAGTTGTTTAATTTAGTGTTTGGGTTATTAGATGATTTGCATCATAAACATGATAGTTGGGCTTGGGATTCTTCTTCTTCTTCTTCTTCTCCTCCTCTCCCTCTCTCTTCGTTTATTTTATTTTTGTAAGAAAATAAAAAATAAAAAAATAATTTTTAACAAAAACATTTTTAAAAAAATAGTATAAATATTTTATAATAAATGAAAAAAAAAATCTAATAAAAGTATATAATTGTAATATTTTAACATATGATTTTTTATAGTACTTTTTATCTTAAAAATTTATAACATATATTTTCATTATCATTAGAAAAAATATATATATAATCTTACAATATATTTTTATATATTATATTATTTAATATATATATATATATATACAAACGCTCCCTACCAACGATTCTTAGAATGTCTCCCGCTCCCGCGCTCCCGCTCCCGCTTCATACAACTAAGCTCTTTCCTCTATTCTTCATGTTCCTAATTTTTCTTATAATCTCTTATTTGTCAGTCAGTTTGCTAAGGCCCCTCATTATGCCGTCATTTTCTTACCTACTTCTTACTTGTTACAGGACTTGAGTTTGAAGAGAATTTTTTGCAAGGGACATGAGCGTGAAGGTTTATACTACTTTGGAGATCCACTAGATACACCCACCCTAGCTACCCTTTCTACTCTTCAAGCTTTCGTGTTGCCAGAGTCTCTGTCTTATGTTTTTTCTTTTCAAACTTTAGCTCTATGGCATGCCCGTTTGGGTCATGCAAACTTTCAATACTAATGTTTACTTTTTCCATCTATTAATAAAGTTTGTGAGGCTTATAAATTTCACTATATGGTTTGCGAATTGTCCAAACATACTTGTACTAGTTAGATCTCTCACATGTCCCGTGCCCGTATGTGTTTGATCTTATTGATGATCACATTAGATGTTTGCCCTGCCACTATTTTTTTTCCGTAAATAGGTATTATGTAACTTTTATCGATGATCACATTAGATGTACTTGATGTTATCTCATTAAACGATCACATTAGATGTACTTGATTTTATCTCATTAAACATAAATTTGATGTGCTTCCCATATTCATTCAATTCCTTCAAGTGGTTAAAACCCAATTCCGCACCATCACTCGTAATATTTGGTCTAATAACGATGGGGAGTTCACCTCGGATCCCTTTCGTTCTCATCTTAATCAGACTGGTATTCTTTAGTAGCTCACTTGCCCTTGCACTCCTGAACAAAATGACCTTGCCGAATGGAAAAATCATCACATTATGTCTGTTGTTAGGTGTCTCCTTTGTGGTATAGGTGTTTCCAAGTCTTATTGGCACACAACAATCCTTATTTTCCGAACAACCTCATCCTCCTCCATTACAGGTCTATTCTCATTGTCCGTGTCCTCTGCCACCCTCATAATCCTCTCTAACATTTGGGTCAGGTAATTCTTCTCTAGTTATGGCTTCTCCACCTCCTCATTATTCCTCTTGTGTACGCCTTACGCCCTCTCGTTATGGTTGTCTTAGTACTAATCATCCTATCTCTCTTATGACAATGTTTTATCTCCTTATCACTCATTCCTTGGCAAGCTTGAGTTAGACTTTTGTCCCTTGTTTTGTGTAAAAGGCCCTTTAGAATCCCAAGTAGGTTCTTATTATATAGATTGATATGGAAACTTTAGAACTAAGTCACACCTAGGAGCTTGTCTCTTTATCCTCGGGGAGAAGTTTGTTGGATACAAATGGGTGTTCACTGTTAAGTATCTTGCGGATGGCTCTGTGGATCGTTACAAAGCCTTCCTCATTTCCAAAAGGCTTTACATAGGTGCTTGGCAAAAAATTTAAGCTTACCTTTGCACCTGTTGCTAAGCTTAATTTTGTCCATTTTCGTATCTCTCTTGCTACTGCGCACTCTTGGCCTCTTCATCAACTTGATGTCAAAAATACTTTTCTCCATGTGGACTTCCTTGAGTCTATTTACATGGATCCTCCACCTAGTTTCCAAGCTGAGGGAGAGTATACTAGGAAGGTGTGTAAGCTTTGTAAATCTTTATATAGATTGAAGCAGTCACCTCGAGCCTAGTTTAGCCGCTTTAAGACTATCATTCTATCTATTGGTTTAGTCCAATGTCATTCTGATCACACTTGCTTCATTCGATGATAATCCATTGGCCAGTTCATTGTTCTGCTTGTGTATGTTGAAGATATTATTCTCTTTGGAGATTGTAAGAGGGGAAAATTTGGAGATACAAAATTCAAACTTCTTGCCCAAATTACAAAGGCGGGATAAGCCCAAAGAAGTCAAGACCCAAAATTTTCGGATAAATCGTATATTTCTTAAAAGACAAGAAAATCATAAAAGGAGAAACAATTGAACCCCGATCCAGGGGGATTACGTGTTTAGGACTCGAAAGGTTCAATAAACCTGAAAACCCATGTGGTTGGAACCTAAAAGGTTCAATGAACCTGAATATCAATGCACTTGGCTTCGTAAAATTCTAGGAAACTAGAAGTCGCTCCATAAAGTGGATCCCAAAGCAATTTGAGGGCTTGGAGCCATTCCAAGGGTGACATGCAAAATCGTAAGCCGCGGCCGGAGTTAGTGACCCTCTCTTGAAGATATGGAACTCGAAGATATCCGTTCCTCATTAAAATAACCCGCCTATACCCAAAGTATAGGTGGTAAGACTTGGGGGATCTTCCGGGACTAGCCAAATGCGGCAAGACGTTCTTCGGAACTACCCCTAACCTTATCTTGGAACGTTGGGAATTGTTGAACTAGTGGCTAAAGACAAAGGATCGTCGGGGTAATTCATAATGTCCTTGAACTATCCACACTCCTTGGGGGTTATCTGAGAAGGCATAAAGTCCTCGAGGCTTGCAATTAGCTCAACCTAGTAGTTAGAGAGCATCTTTTCCCCATGCGGCCCCTTGGACACATGGAATCACCACAATCGATTGCTTGAACCCTAAAGCTAATCTTGGGGGTATATAAATACTCACCATCCATAAGGCTTCATTTAAGAATCATTTCCTATCTCCAATGGAGACCCACTCATGGGAGCTTTGGAGTCCTGGAAAAGTGAGAGTGATTGGAGTTAGAAATGAGGATTGGGGATGTCTTCCTATTCTCTCTCTCTAACTAGCTTGCTTTTATCTTTCACCCTTCCACCACTTCTCTACATCTCTCCACGAATCTAGTCCTTCCATCACCAAATGTCTAGCTTCTCCTTTCCATCTACAAGGGTTTTCATCTTCTCCAGCAAGTTCCATACTTTCCGGCGAGAATCACCATTTCTGGTGAGCTTACTTGAACCCGCTTCATACATTTTTTTGAAGTAATACCATGAGCTCACTTCATACATTTCTAGTGAGCTCAAGTGAAGCAAGATCTTAGTGAGGCATTTGATATCAAAGATTTGGGCCGTCTCAAGTATTTTTTGAGTATTGAGGTTGCTCGCTGGGGGATTTCTTTGTCCCGAAGGAAGTACACTTTGGATCTACTTCAAGATACTGGTATGTTAGCTAGCAAACCTACTTCCACCTCCATGAATCCCAATCTTAAGCTTACAGCTGAATCTGGAGAGTTATTGATTGATCTGACATATATCAGCGTTTGGTAAGTCACCTTGTCTACTTGACCAACACTAGACCAGACTTGACATTTACGATTAGTGTTGTGAGGCAATTTATGCATGCACCTCATACAGAGCATCTTGATTTTAGTATATCACATATTGCGGGGTCTGAAGATGTCTCCTGGTTTAGGATTATTCTTCTTTGTTGGTCTTCAATTAGGGTTTTCTTATTTCACTGATGCAGACTATGTTGAGTCTAGAACTGACAGGCTTTCTACTTCTGATTTATATACTTTCTATGGTAATCATCTTATATTATGGAAAAGTAAAAAACAGGCTGTTGTCTCATGATCCTCTACTGAAACTGAGTATAGAGCCATGGCTCAAGGTACTTGTGAGATATTATGGATTCAATCTATTCTTGTTTGAGTTGGATTTTACGGAAGATGCCCCTCTCTTCTATTTTGCAATAATAAAACTGTTATTATGTTAGCTTGAAATTTAGTTCTTCATGAGAGGACTAAGCACATACGGGTGGACATTCACTTTATTAGGGAAAATGTTCGGACCAGTGTTGTAAGTCCATCATTTGTCTCTTCGTCCGAGCAGGTAGAAGATATGTTCACAAAGTCTATTGGCCCAACCTTGTTGCTGTCATCTATTGTCAAGCTGGTTTATGTAATATCTTTGAATCAGTTTGAGGGAAGTGTTGGAATTGGAATTAGAATTAGAATAAAGATCACTGTGATTGTAATCACGGGATATTAGGTAACATTTATGTAATCATGATTTTATTTCCTATTTTGTAATTCTTCCTCAAGTATATATACATAGGCTAGTCCTCATTCAAGACTAAGCCATTCTTTTACATTCTTTTCTATGTAAGTAGAGTAATACATACCTGGTTCTGTAAAGCCGCTCTCCTTGTATACTGCACCTCCAGGAATATCCACATCAAACCTTTAAAATAAATTTTAAAAAATAATCATAATTTCTTGAAGTACTATCATGTCATTAATATATTACAAAGCTCTATAGAATATTATTTTATCACCAAAAGCGTGTGAGAATGTTGTGCTTTTATTTACACTAGAATGGAAAAGATGGGACCCAATGGAAATGCCAAGATCAAACATCTTACATGTGTATTTTTGAATAAGTGCTCCTAATATTGCCAACATCATCGATTAAAACATGGGTGTTACGCAGGTGCTCATCATCAGATCCTCTTTCTTGGAATCCTCCTAGTGACAACCAAAGTTTTGACTCTCTGCAATTCACAGAAATTAGTGTGGTATCTTACCAAAGAAGTCTTGAAATGCAAAGGAAACTCAATATGTCGCTGCAAATGACAATATTTAACAAAAATGCCAAATCCGAAATCTTAAATTAACTTATAAATTTGACAGAGCTACAAATAAACCATGTGATTGTTAATACTTTGCTCTCAGCACAATCAATTTGTAACCCAAGGTAGTTTTACATGTAGACGCAATAAATTGAAAGAGGAGAGAGCACAGGGGAAGTAAATCAAACAGAGTCTCACCTTGCAAGAGAGCAATACCCTTTCATAATTGGTCCATCAAGAGGTTCTCCAATCTTAACAGTGTTCACATCATTGAAACCCACATAGGAGAAGCTTTCAGGAAAACAGACCATCTTTGCCCCAGCAGCAGCTGCTTCCTTTTCAAATAAAATTCCAACATTTAAGATCAAGTAATTTTTATGTGCACAAAAGCTCTTATTTGTTAAGTAATTCTACTAATGAAAGTACCAAAAGGACTGCAACCGTGTACACACAGAGGGCACAAAGGGGAAAAAGAACAAATGTAACACAACCTCTTATGCATATACACAATATACAACTCCTAAAAATCTACAAAATACTATCAGCCAAAAAAAACATGACATGCCTATGCCTTTCAAATCTTCTATATATGCACAAAAGTACTTTTATCTTAAAAAATAAAATAAAAAAAAAAGGACTAATTACACTTGTGGTCTCAAATTATGCATTTGTTACACATTTTGATCTCCAATATTTTAATTGTCAATTTGATCCCAAAATGATAAAATGTGACACTTTTTTTCTTTTTTCATTTTTTTTTTTTTTTTTTTTTTTTTAATGGATATCGGAGGGGAATAGTGAAGAAAAATGATTCATATAGCCTACACCATTTGATTAGAACACAAGACTGTTTGGTTTAGTTTAGATAGGACGGAAATAAGGAAGGTGAAGCTGCATAGTTTCACGGTAAGACTCAAACTCAGGCATCACATTTGGTATGAGCACGTCTCATCTATTAGGCCAACCCCTTAGTCTCAAACCACAAAATGTGAGTTTAAATGATCCTTAGCCGCAGATATTTTTAGAACTGCGCTAATGGTCCTAAATAAATGTGTTTTGTTTCCCTCCATCAATGCAATTGCACTTTCAAAAATACCCCAAGTAAGTACTTTGTTTTCTTCCCTTCAACGCACATGCATTTTAAAAAATACCCTACATATGTGGCAAAATTTTAAAAATATTTCAACTCTGTTATTAATTTTGGATGGCATTTGGGGTCATTTAAACTCACATTTATAAGTTTGGCAACCAAATTGAAAAAAATTGAAAGTTGAAGACCAACGCGCATAGCTTAGGGTATTGGTGTAATTAGTTCCAAAAAAAAAATGACTATATGCCCAAAAAGATCTTCAATTTATTTAGCCAATGATCATACTATGGCTGAATCAACAAACAGACTGCATTAAAAATTCATTTGAAGGTGTTAAAATAACATCAAACACTGATAAATATATATCAAAAGCATTAGAATTCAGAATTGATGAAATATAGATTCCCTTGAATCAAACTAATTGGGCACTTAGTCGAGAGCTTGTGCACAAGCGCGCACACACAAACACATGGATAGACTCTTGTTGAACTTAAATGTATCTTCTAAGTAAATTACATTAATCATCTTTAAAGTTTAGAGGGGAAAAAAAAAGGAAAAAAAGAAGTAGCAGGTATTATCTTGTTTGGTTTTCAAAATCTAATACAATTTTTGAGTATTTTTGTTTTTTTATTTTACTCAATTTTTTTTAGATGCACTTAATTTAGAAGCACCTACAAAAAAAAATATTTGTAAAGAAATCTGAAAAAAAAAAAAAAAATGTTCAAGGAAAAAAAAAAGAAGAAAAGCTGGCACACTTCCCTTTTATTTTTTGGGAAGTGTTTGAGTGTGCAAATTTGCATAAATTCTCACAAAAATGTGTAAGTTGTCTTGTAAAATTATGTAACTTGAACACATTCTCGTAAGTTAATTCGTAAAAATTTGAGAAATTAGAACTTAAGGTAAGTTATCACAAAAATATATAAGTCACCTTATAAAATCGCATAAGTTAAATAAATTTACGTAAGTTAACCCATAAAAATTTGAGAAATCACAATTTGGCATAAGTTTTCACAAATATACATAAGTCATCTCACAAAATTGTTAACACAAATTCGCATAAATTAACCTATAAAAATGTGTAGTAAGTTCTGACAAAAGCGTGCAACTTAAGTCACAAAAATACATAAGAAAATGGCATACCATATGCCTTGTACACTCAAGAATTATCCTCTTTTTTTTTTTTATGGGGCTTCGAACCTCTGACCTCAAGCTTAAACTCTCAATCCCTAACCGCTGAACCAAACCACTTAACCAAGCCACTCTTGTGACAAAATATTCAAACAAATATATATATATATATATATAATAAAATACTATAAAAAAAATATTGAAAAATATTTTTAAAAAATTAAACCAATTCGCATAATATTCAGTTTTATTTTTATATAATGATGGATCCTGATTCGAATTTTAGAAGTCAAATAAGAAGTTTAATGTGTAATTGCTCTCCAAAATTCGAATCCGAAGGGATAAAGAGGAAAAAATTGCAAACACTTGTATTGGGAGCAACTACACGCAGTGGGATAAGAGAAAAAAATAAAAATAAAAATTACACAGACATTTGATTTGAGGTGTAAGTATGAAAGACTGAGGCCTTGTTTGGTTTGTGTTTCTCAAAAATTTTTGACAAAAATTCTCTACAAATAAGTTTTTAAAAGTAATCAAACCAAACAAATTTTCTCAAATTTTTTTTCCAAAACTTGTTTAGTTTACAAGTTTTCCAAACAAATCTTTCTCTCACACACATCAAATCAATCACTTTTTCCAAAACTCTCTCTCAAAATAATTTTCAAAAACATCTTTTGAAAAAAACCAAACCAAATAACTTTTCGTATTTTTTATCTCTAAAACTCATCTCCCAAACTCAAACCAAACATACCCTGAATGTAAGTGTCGGTTGCACTTCCCATGTATTGATAATTTTTTTTCCTCCTTGTAATTTTGGGTCGAATGACAAAACGACGTCGTTTTTCCTTTTTTTTTTTTTTTTTTTGGGTCTTCGTCTTCCTATCAGAAGTAGAAAATCAGAGGAGGAGGGGAAGAAAGGAGAAGAAGAAGAAGGGAGGGGGGAGAAGAAGAAGAAGAAGGGTGGAGAAGAAGATCAGGAGGAGGAGGAAGGATGGAGGGGGGGGGGCCATAAAAATCGGCTGGACATTATTATGAATATATATATATATATATATATATTCAACAAATTTTGAACCCAGATCCATCCATGTATACAGAGAGAGATGAGAGAGAGAGAATACCTTGACGAGGCGAGAGCAGGTGGCGAAATTGGCGGCGATGTTGTCCATGGATGTCATCTGAACGGCGGCGACTCGGACTGAGTTGGCCATTACTAATAACTCGACACCTACTGCGCGTTCTGCTAATTTATTCGGCTGGTTTCCTTTGGGCTCACCCTCACCTTTATCAATTGTGGGTTGGTTTCGGAAGGGGCTATTTTTTGGGTTTTTTTTAAGTTATTTTAGTTGGGTTAAAAAATTTGATTTGAAAAGAATTTTTTAATTTTTTGATTTTTTAATTTTTTTTAGTAAGAGAAGAGTGTAATAATTATTAATTGAATAAAAATTTTTTATGTATTATGACTAAAATAATTTATTTTACCTTTTATGATTAAAATAATCAAAATAATCTACTTTAGCTTTTTTTCAAACGGAGCCTGAATTAGAATTAGAAAAAAGTTAGACACTTTTTTTTTTGATTTCCACCACCTTGTATGGAGATTGATTAATTTTTTACTTTTTGTTATTTTGTTTTTTTTTTTTTTTTTATCATTTACTGACACGCATTTGTTGCGGGAATTGTGTGTTTTAATGGGGTGTTTGTTTCAATTTTTCAAAGTTAACTTATGATTTTTGATTTTGAAAAAGTTATTTTGGACTGTTTGGTTAAATTTATTTCAAATAGTTTCTGATTCTAACAGTTTATTTTAACTCAAAAAAATGATTCTGAGAAGGTACTTACCTCTTACTTCTGATTATCAGTTTTTGTTGTGGATATGTTAATTTATGATTATACTCTTAGATTTTTTTATTTTTTATTTTTTTAAAAATAAAAAAATACCCAAATGGACTGTAGATTATTATTATTATTTTTTTTGAAAATGTAGACAAACAAAAAATAAAAATTAATTGAAAAAGTTATTTCACAGCATATTTAACAAACACTACTCAGCAACTTAAATCTATAATCCAACAGCTACATCAAATAGATTAACAACTTCTGATTAAAGTCGTAATCTATAATCTGTTAAACTATAATTTATAAGCTGTTTTAACAACCAATGTATTGAGATTGGTTAATTTTTTATTTTTTGTTTTTTTTATATCATTTACCGAGAGTTGTGTTTTTCAATGTATTGGAATTGGTTAATGTTTTATTTTATTTTTTTTGATTTTTTTATTTTTTTTTATCATTTATTAACATGTGTTGTGAGAGTTGCGTGATCAAGGAAAAAAAAGGATGTCTAGAATTACATGATTGGTGCCGTGCATTATTAAATTGACTGATTAGTGAGATGATATCAGGGCATAATCAGCTAATATTTTACAAATATTTTGTGATTAATGATGGAGAAGATAAGATGCATCATACGTGATTATAAAATGGCTATGGCGTGACAAGAGAGGGCATTACATGATTGGTGCCGTGCATTATTAGAGGGGACCACCTAATTATTTTTTTCTGTCGTTGGGGTCCAGACGCAGCAGCTGAAAGACACAAAAAATGGGAAAATTATTTGAAAGCATGATGTGATGTTGGGATGCGGGTACCTGACTGCTGTGCTTATCTGCTGTCCTGTCCTACAAGACCGCGACGTATTAGGGTCTTCAAATTGAGTCCGGATCCTCTCCAGCATGTCTCTCCGACCATTCCTCCGGGTGACGGTCCAGATTGGGCCACGTCACCCCTAAAGAAATTTACGGCTCGGATTAATTAAAAAAAAAAAAATCAAAATTCAGGAAACAAAACAGAGGCCAAAACGGGAAAGAGACAACAGAATTTCCCTCCCATATCTTTCCATCCACTTCTTCCCTCCCTCTTGAGTTCTTCACCAACGATGACTCCATCGAGTGAAATCAACGGCGATCATCGACGACTCCTTCTCGATCTCTCCTTCTATCTGTCTCCCTCTCCCTCAGCACATCATCTTTACTTCGAAGATTTGCACCGCGAACCAAAGCTCCGGCGACCGCGAACCACCGCGAACTGATCTGCACTGCTCAGTTCGGTATTTAAGATTTTTCGTGTTTGCATCAAGCCCTATTGATATACCCAAACCATTTTCCAGTTGTTTTCCCCTAAATTCTTCACAATTTCAAAAGTTGAACCTAAGAATTCCATGGTGTGGTCACTTCGGTTCTTCCAAATATCAACTATGATGCAAAAACCCCGTGGTATTGAAAACCAATATACCAGCTCAATAAACATGTGCTTACATTTGCCTAAAAAAAATTGGTGGCAAACAAGGCACTAACCTTACCACCAGGTACAACTGGTGTAAGAGTAGATGGAAGGATTTGAGTCTGGAGCAACACTAAAAATAAAAATTGAAAGGAAAAGTAGAATGAACTCCCAATCAAAACACCAAAAATTCTATTTTTTTAAAAAAATAAATGCCAACAAAACTTCAATACAGATACTTGAATAATAAATAATAATAATAAATTGGATAACGATGGTCGCCGGGGAAGCATGGAGCGTTTCCTCCCCTTCTCTCCCTTTCTCTGCTTTTTGTTTGTTGTCTCTTTCACGCTTTGGCCTCAAGGGCCACGATTTGGCCACGTGGCTTAATGAAGATCTACAGCTCAGATAAAAAAAAAAAAAAAAATTTCGTTTTTCTTTTTTCTTTTCTTCTTCTTCTTCTCTCTCTCTCACTGATAACTCTCTCTCTCTCTCTCCTCATTACAATCATCGACCCAAATCATCGACCCAAAAAAAAGAACCGAGGATGCATCTAGGTTTCTAACTTTTTTTCTTGTTTTGGGCTTCAAGAAGAAGAACACTTCTTCAGCTTGTTCAGCTTCCATGGCACTTCTTTTCCCCTTTCTCTTATTCAATGTCTGATGTTGTGTTTTTTGTTTTGTTTTGTTTTTTTTTTGGTTCAGATTTGAAATTGGTTGAGAGTTTCCAATTTCTCAGAAATTGGTTCAGATTTGAAATCTGATTTTTTTTTACAGATTTACTCAAAGATCTGTATTGAAAATATCAAGTTAAAAAAAACAGAACTGAAATGTTGAGGGGAATAATCAATTAAGTGTTTTGAGGGAGAGAGAGAGAGAGAGAGTTATCAGTGAGAAGAAGAAGAAGTTTTTGGGTTAGTTTGGCTTCATCACAGTGAGAAGAAGAAGAAAAAAAAAATTACCCAGTTGAAATCTATGCCCAAACTAACAAAAACAACAACAACCCACAAGCCAAAAACAACAGCTATAGGAAGAATATTTTTTCCCCAGAAATTCAAATCTGAAACTGTACAACTTATGAACAAAAAAGTAAAAAATACATTTTCATTTGTATGTATGTATATAGCTCTGTTTGAGATCCATATAGCTCGTTCTTGAAGCCCAAAACAAGAAAAAAGAAAAAGAAAAGAACGAATCAAATCTTCATCATCTTCAACATCCTCATCAAAAAAAAATCCTTTGTAGATCCGGATCTACAAATCTTCATCATCTTGATTTTTCTTCTTTTTTTTTCTTTCAAAATATCTGCATCAGAAAAACGCAGAAAAAAAGACCGTGGCTTTTGCTTATGAGATCAGATTTCCGCCATTGATGGATGCTTGTTTGGCTTTTCTATGGCTTTTGCAGAGAAACGAAATTCAATTTTTTTTTTATTTTTTATTTGAGTCGTAGATCTTCAAAGGGCCACGTGGCCAAATCGTGGCCCTTGACTGGAGGACCGGAGGGATCCTTTGGCTGGAGAGGATCCGGACTCCTTCAAATTATTCACGAAGATTCAAAGCAATTGGGTAAAGAATTGGTTTGGTTTAACTCAAGTAATTTTTGGTAGAATTTTAAAATTATAATTTTAAAATAAAATTATATTTTAAAGTTGTAAATTTTGAAATTATGATTTGATAGTGAAAAATTTATCTAGTTATAAATTTTGAAAAACGTTTTAAATTAAGTTTGAATTGAGTGATGTAATATATGATATTTAATATAAAAATTTAAAATTTATAAGAGCATTTCCAACGGTGAATCAAAAATTTCACCAAATCTGAGTTAAAAAATGGCCATTTCCTGAATTTGATACTTCAGGCTCCAACGGTTCACCTTCACCAAATCTATCCCAGGACAACCGGGTGGTCGACCGGCCGGTTGACCGGTTAGGCAAAATTTTTTTTTTTTTTTTTTTTTTGCGAATTGTCTGAACTTTTTTTGAACTTTCTGAACTTTTTTCGGGACACCGGGGTGGTCGACCGGTTAGGCAAATTTTTTTTTTTTTTTTTTTTTTTTTAACGGTTTGAACTTTTTTCCTTCCTGAACTGTTTGAATCTTTTACTGGTTGACCGGTTGGTCAACCGGCCGGGCAACCGGTTGGTCGACCGGTGTAGCATTTTCAACGGTCAGTAACAGTGATTTGGTAAAATCTGTGTCTTGATCTCAGTTTGATGTCTTGTTTGCTGAATTCTCATTTTGGTATGACTTTGGTGCAACCGTTGGAGCGTGAAAAAGTGGGTTTTTCATCAAAATTTAAATCTGATGCTGGGTTTGGTTCACCGTTGGAAATGGTCTAACCAAACACATAACTTAAAATTTATTCAAAACTCATAAAAAATTTTAAAAAAATTTCACAAATATTTTTTTTTAATATAAAAATAACAGATACAAAAAAAAAATCGAACACAGTTCCGATCAACCGGCCGGATGATCGGTGGGACGTCCGGTTAGCCCAAATATTCATTGAAAAGAGTTTTTAAAAGTGAGTATGGAACTATATTTCAAAAGTTTCACCAAATGAAGCCTTAGTTTTTATTTTTTAGTGTATTTATTCAATTCTGTTATTAAATCATCAAGTCAATAGAATTAGATTAATTCTTAATTCATATCTTATTTAAAGCCTATTTATATATATCAAAATTTTATTTATATTGATATGCTTTTATTTTATTTTAGAGTGAAATACCAATAAATCTTAAAATGTAATTTTTGTAAATTGTTTACTTCATTTTTTCTTATGAATCTAAAAGTCTCATTAAAGTAAAAATTACACACAAAAAAAAAAAAGTCACTTGTTTGAATTTTATTTTTTAGGGATAAAAGTGGATTTCTCAAAATGTAAAATTATATATTTGAACAATCTACACTATAGAACTTTTGGATTTTCTTCCCTTTTGAAACAAATCCCATATTACAAACAAAAACATAACACTCCAATGCTATACACTAAAAAATTCTTTAGTGTACTTTTCTGGAACGTAA